CTGAAACCAGAAAGACCTGAGATGAACTTGCATTCTTCCTTCTTTTTCACATCCCTCTCTGGAAATCCACCTCTACGCCCCAGTCCTCAAATAGATTTTATTGCTTCATGGAAATAATTGTGTGTTACAATGTTGTTATTTTCTTTCCCACATTGAGAGAAAGTAAAAGGAAAATGCTTTAGAAAAATGCTGTTCAAAGAACTATGCATGGTGTTTTCTTTAAGTTTGATTTATTCGGGAGAAAGAAGAAAAACACAACAAGCATTTTACATTTCTACTTCTTTCAAGTAGGAACCAAACTTTTAAGTAGGAACTCAATTGTGAGAACAATGACTACATTATCAAAAAAAAATAGCAAGATATGTCTTGGAACTGTGTCCAGTCCCTACTGATAATGATGATTTGGAGTAAAGAAAAAGGGGACAAAAAAAAAAAAAAAAACTTTAAAAAGAAGGTGTCCTCTTGGTGTTTTTCTCTTATTTAAAACCAATTAAAATTCTATACATTCTCAAATGAGACAAACAAGATGTATCCTAGTTTCATGCTATCATATTACCCCCCTGAAGCGAAAGAAAATATTTGGAGTTGTACCTAAAAATTCTATCGCTGGAAGATTTTTTAGAAAACCAGTTTTGTATGTTTCAGGCTTTCAAAGGAAAACAGAACTTGGGAGTTTTCAAGGCTGTTTTAAAACAACTGGCAAGTTACCAACTCTGGCTATCAATGCAAATCTGAGGCAGGAAGTACTAAGGAAATTCTAAACTCATTCCCTCCCTCTGCAAGATTTTCTACATTTTCATGTGTAAGGCGTGTGTGAAGGGCTTGTTTTGTTTTGCTTTTGAAGGATCCGTACAGTCGCATCTTTTAGAATATTCTTTGTCCCACAGGAGCCTCTCTTCCTTTGCCTGCTCCTCACTGTGTGTTTTCAAGTGTTTGCTCTTTCAATGGTACAGTCAACTGGGGTCTAGCTAGACTTTCAGAAACAGAGGGCAGGCAGATCAGGCTGCAGATGGTTGAATATTCAGCCTGAAATCAATGTGCAGTGGATCAGTTATTCCTTTCACTTGTCCCCATCTTCATACCAGGCTCTGAACTCAATCTGAATACCACCAGCCAGAGTAACCCTGTTAGGTCCCCTATTCTGAACCCCTTTCTTCCAGACCTTCTGGGGACTCAGATGGCCAAAGAGGGAGTGCAACAAACTGATGTAAGAGCAATGTGATTAGAAACTGTATGCTGGATTAGTAGAAACATAGTGAACTGGTAAGGGTGTGGAAAAGGAGAAACTTGCTGTGTGTGCTTGGGTGATTTTTAAAGTTTTATGAAGATGACTAAAGTTTTCCAAATATTATATATGCGAGAAATTTCTATTTTTCAGCTGTGAAATATCAGTTCACTAAGCTGTGACTACGTGTTCACTCTTTTTTAGCTTTTCAAGTCCAACTAATTTTTTTTTTCCCCAAGAAAACCCCCTCCCAAAGTACCTCAAATTCAGAATGAAATTCACCAGGGATTTCCTTGTCTAACAGCAACAGGTTGGTTGTTTGAAAGAGCTATAACAGAATACTTGAAAAATATTAGGTGAGAATTCTCAAGCATCATTTTGTATTTTGTCATCAAGATAAAGAACTAGTTTTGGAACCTCCTTTGTCCAAAATTTGCTCATTTCCTTTGTAGCCTTCCAAACAGCAAATTGACCTTGATAAACTATCTTTTTTATTCAGCCATATTTCTCATTTAAATATTATAACATGCCACTAAGATTTCTTCATGATTCTTTAACCAAAAGTAATATTCCTTCTTGAAATAGCTTCTTTGGGTAGGAAAAAAAAATTGGTCAAAAAGAAAATAGATGACAATGTTTAAGATGGGAGGCGAGGAGACAGCACACTATAACATTGCTACACATGATGACCACAAATCAACCAGTGGGTTTTCTTCTTAACTAGTAAGTACATTTTTCTAATATAAAACATGTTACACCTTTGAGAACTTATTTAAAAAATAAAGCATACTTTTTTAAAGAAAAAAGTTGAGAGATTGGTTCTCATGCAATGGAAAATACTAAGAGCAGAGAAGGCAGGGAAGTATCAAAGTTCCTCTGAAACTTTAACATGTATTTGAGAGAATGGAAAAATTTTGCATTTATTTAACAAATCAATTTTCATATTTTTATCATAAAAATAGAAGCTATTCTATCATTACACATACTTAAGTAGAAAGACAGAGTTCAATATTTTGTGCATTTTCTGAAAGACAATAATAAACATTTTGATTCTTTAAAATCTCATGAAGGATTTTCCCCAAAAAACTAGGGTCAACAACCAAACCTTGTGGACTGAGGGCAAAAAAACCCTACATGAGTTTTGGATACAATCTAAGATATGATATCATCAGAATATGATTATCTACCAAAGAATTCTATTTTTATGCAACATAAGTATTCTTTACATGTCAGTATCATCTTAAATAGCTATGATTATAAAATTAAATTATGACTACAAGCCAAGGCTAGAACAGTGGATTTTATGAATTCCACCCAGGCTTTCCGAATAAATATAAGCAGCATGTACTTCCTTCAAAGTTATTAAAAATTATATTTTGAGATATAAGCGTAGAAGAGACAAGAAGTGATATGGAATTAACCCAGTTGTTTCCCTGTTATACTGGGACGTGATAGCGCTTCATTGCAGAGTATTAACGCTGTCAAGAAGTCCCCACATTTTAAAATATGATTGCACATTGACCCTCTGTCCCATTCCCTCTGTATACAAGTTTCAAAACAGGGCACGTTTTCACATCTTCAGCTTCCAGGAATGTTATTAATGTCTGTCATTTCAGAGCCACTGTAACAATATTCGACAACTACACAGCACTATGGAAAGTTTACAACATAATAATCAATACGAACTACCATGATGGCCAAAGTAGCTGATTTTATATTCCCTATTATGCTGATCTGATTACCCGAATATCAGCTTAGGATGCCTAATGGATCTAACTTCTTTAAAAATGTTCCAGAAGTTGATGGCATTGGCTAGCTTGAAGGTAACAAGATCCAGATGCCGCCTGTCTATACAACACTATACTACATAGGACCCCAAAGCATTTTTTAAACCCCCTCTATATCTTTCAGGTTCTAACCTCATCTCCCTCACCATATCACTGACCCTCTTTACCTTGAACACGAACACACACACACACACACACACACACACACACACACACACTTTCTACCAGTATAGGTCACCCAGTGTCTTTGGTGTAATGTGCACAACATTCACTATTTTCTACTAGTAAAAGGTTAAAAGAAATCTCAAGCAGGAAAACAATTATTTCATTCATTTCACTCTAAAGTTTCTTTTCTGAATATATACCAATGGTAGAACACAAGGACCAAAAACAGAGCGTGATTTTTGAAACATTTGGAAAAATTTAGCCAAATGAGCAAAAGGGATGGAATGTCCCATATTTTTCACGCAACCCTTGAGTTTATTGTTTTTGTTTCTTTGGGGGATGAGGAATGACTATAAATTTTCCCCTTTTAACTTGTCCTGGCTTTGCCATTTCCTTGCGGAAGGGCAGGCAGCCTTCTCTACCTAATCCTCCAAAGAGTTAAAACTCAAGGCACCGACCAGGAGGGCTAGTCTATTTAAGCAGCAGCAGCACAAACTAAATGCTCACAAAGGCAAAAAGCAATGTGAGTCGACCTTGGAGGGGCAGGGCGGATCGTAGACCAACTGAAAAAGAAAAAAAAAAAAAAAAGCAACAATCTTTAATGTAATACTGAACGTCTGCTGCCAGTCTGGTTTACAAATAGGCATTGTTTGATGAGACAGAATAAATGAAAGATAACTACAGCATGAATTACCAAGCCCTAATCACATCAGCAAGTCGTGGTGACAGCAAAGATCATTTCAGGCACGCCTTGTTCACTCTAGACATATTTATTATTAAGAAGACGGTGGAGTCTGGGTAATAAAATACAAAATAATATTACCCATGTACTCGAGGTGGTAACTCTGCCAACATCCCCTCCCCGCCACAATCAAGTCCAATTTAATTGACAAATTGGAGCGGTGATTTCACACCTGAGAGTCTTTCATGTCTTAACTGCAGGATAAAGTTCAGGGCTGGTACTGCCCACTACTTACTTACGTGGGCTAGCCTCTGGGCCCCTAATGATCATTTGAGAGCGTGCATGCACACACACACAGACACACACACACACACACACACACACACACACACACACAAAGCCTAAAGTATTTAACCAATTCAAGTCCAATGACTATTAGTTACATTCCATTTCTTTTCAAGACCCAGGCCTCCTGAAGGCAGCTAACACAGAAAAACAGAGCTTCTAAAAGTAAAGAACGTCAATCGTAAAGCTCTTAATTCCGTCTGTAGCATTCTGATTGCCCTCACTATAAAATAAAACAGGCAAGGCAAGTTAAAAATCAAAATACACCCAAACAAACTCTAAGAGACGCTGGTAGGTGCCTATGCCTTCTCACACCCTTCTTTCATTCTATGCTCAGCGATTAAAAGTTTGAGTCGCACCCACCCTGGTATTTCCCATCCAGTGGGAAAAACCCTTTTAGAGCTGCAAACAAAGAACAGCTCGCCAGAAAAGCCCCTGATATTATATTCTTGTGCCTGATAATCACCGTTGTGATCTCCTTTTTAAAAACCCTGCCCATCTGCAAAGGACTTTACAAGTATCAGGACCGTTCATGCTGCCAAATAACAACAAAGGAACTGAACTCCAGCGAAACTATTATCTCTCCTGAAAGAGAAAGCTACAATTCTGGGTTTGCTGCTTTCTCCTTATGGCTTTCTCTGCCTCATTAACTCCATTGGTATGGTTACTAATTTCAAAGGAGCAGGAAGAGGTGAAGGAGGTTGGGAGTTAAATAACAATTCTCATGCCTGTCTGTTTCCCATCCCAAGTGCAGAAGGATACCACGCTGATTGCCAGACCGTGGGTTGAGCCATACCTTGGTTTGGAGATAATGAGGATAGTAGTAAGTGTACTGGGGGTACATTTGTGGCTGATCCAGGCGTTTGCCCATGTAGCTGGAATCTTTATCTCCGAGGCAGGGAACTGGATGACAGGGTATAGTGCCCCAGGCCGAGCTTCCTCTTAAACCACTATTCCTGACAGTCCCGATGACTGATGAGGCTTCAGAGACTCCACCACTCGCTAGTTCCAACACAGCAAGAATGTTTTTAAAAAAGCAAAACAAAAAATCGCACCAAAAGAAGCAAAAAAGGGTGGGGAGTGAGATCTGTAGGAAAAAAAAAAAAAAAAAAACCCACACAGAGCTTCCCCAGCTCTCGCCTGGATGCCCCCAGTTGCCGGGGTCCACTTGGGATGAGGCAGTTTGCTCTGTAACCAGGCTCTCTGTAGTGATGTCAATTGCCAGCGTTTGTAAAAGGGGGGGGGGGAAAATCAAAGTCCTTTGAGCACAACTCTGAATCCTTGCAGATCAGCTTCCTGTCTCCTGTTTGTCTCTTTCCCCACCTTAAAGAAAAAGAAAAAAAGAGAGAGGGAGAGGGAGAAAGAAAGAAAGAAAGAAAAGAAAAAAAAAAAGAAAGAAAGAAAAAGAAAAGGGGGAAAAGAAAAAAAAAAAACCTTGCACAGCTTAGTTGCTGCTGTCTCCCTCCCAGAGTGACATGGTGTTCGGGGCTTGTCCTGTCCTTTCATTCACTTCCCCTCCTTCCAGCCGGTGGGTGGAACCGAGAGAGCCTCTCCAGGGAGCAGCGTACGCAGTCCAGAAGGCTGCAGTATTTCCTCCAAGAAAAAAAAAAAAAAAAAGGCTGCTTCAACCCCTGCTGCAAGCAAAGTTCCGATTCCCTCTGCTGGCTATCTCGAATAGCAAAGCGATTTTTGCAGCAAGGCTGCTGCCGCTGGAACTGAACCTTAAGAACTCAAATGCGAGCGGTGAGGGATTCCTTATCCCTCCCTCCATCTACCCTACACAAGAGCTGCCTTTTCTTTTTTTTTTTTTTTTTTGTCTTTTCTTGCCAAGTTCCAAGGTAAGCCACACTGCTAAACAAAACACAGAAGACCATGGGAGGGAATAGAGGACGGAAGGAGGAGAAAGGAAAAGGACGGGAAAAAAAAAAAAGGCAGAGGAACTAACCTTGCTGGTTAAGACGGGGGAAAAAAAAAAAAGCGTGTCCCGGATGCTTGCAAAATCCGTTAACACACTAAAGCCAGATTATTCCAAGACCTGGTTGAGAAACTAACCTTTTCCTTCCTGGTGGAAACTGTAGCCCACTTCAGGAATATTAGCACACCACGCGTCATAAGATTGGACGGATCAACTGAATTTATCAGAAATAATAACTCTTTTCATTCCATCCCTTTTGTAAAAAATCAAAGGAAGTGACCCCTTAGGTTTATCAGCTCCTTTATAAATAAAACCACTGCTTCTCCCATTGTCTCTCTCTCTCTGATTATTTTGATTCATTGATGCTTTAATCACTCTACAGATATCATCTCAAAAAAAAAGAACAAAAATCATAATTACTTGGCAGAGTTTTCCCCACCAAGGATAATATTCTGGCATGTCTATCAGCTGCAACATTATAATACAAATTGTTTCAGAGAAAATATATTTCCTTAAAGGGTCCCTTTTCAAGGCGGGCGAGGCTAAAATTAGCCGTGCCAGCTGTGTTTTGCTGCGAGTGCTCACGCATGCCCAAAGCGTGGGCAGACTTAATACTGAGCTCCTCTCCACTTTGTCAAGTCGGCTCTGTTCTCCAGATCTCAGAGTCGCCTGTTCAGATAAAAGGTTCCTGGTACAAATCCAGCTTCCTCGTCGAGAAGAACAGAGAATTCAGGCTCCACGCACACATGGTGTCCATCCATGTACAAAGCCCACCACCCCTGAAGCAACTGGCTTCCGCCGAGGGGAATTGGTTTCTGGAATCCGTGTGAGTGCCTGCGTGTTCCTTGGACAAAGATAAGGATGTGGGTAAATAGTGTTATGTTTTATTTTTGTCAAGAGATAACAATCAAAAGGAAAGAAGGAGGGAGGGGAGAGTGAGAAGCCCTCACAACATGGTAACTGAGAAAACTAAAGCAACTCCGCCGATGTTTCAGATGTGTTTTTGCGGGCCTCAGTTGTTCCATCTATGAAATGGAGAGGCTGCCAACTGACCAAGCTGGAGGCAGTGAATTGTATCAGATGCTATAAAAACCACATTTATTTTAAAAAGTCCTTCAGTGGCATCACATTGCTCAAACTCCCAACTCCCAACTCCCTGGAAGAGTTTTCAAGGCACTTGGCTAGGCTGTTCCCTGGCTTTCCGCTCCCCTCTCGACGTTCAGATCTGCCTTCTACATTTGTCACCTGAGTCACACTGACCTACTTTCTCTCAGGGCATTCTATCATTCCCTCTTCCTGGATGTCCCTCCCAACCCTGCCTCCTCCTCTCTTACCCTTCAGCCTGTCCTTCTCAGCTCAGACATCACCTCCTCGGAACAACTTTCTCTAAGTCCTGTCTTCCTTGCCGCACTTTATGTCTGGCCTAATCGAATGCTTACCCTGCGTGCATTCGCCTGTATATTGCTCCTTTCTTCCATGATGTTCTAAACTCTGGGCGAGCAGGAGGTCCCATGATTCTTGTTCATCTTTTTTATTTCCAAACACTAGGTGTAGAGACTAGCACACAGCGGGTGTTCAGTAACTATCTGAAGAATAAAAATGTCTAAACGCAATTCATAATTTCAACCCAACTTATGTCCTTCCTTCAGTATATTTCAGCCCTTGTCACAGGTCAAGAGCTGACTGGGTACAAGGGACGTTGAGACACGTGAATCAGAACAAGGCCTCTCCTTCCTAGAGTGTAGATTCAGTGGGGGAAGAAAAGGAATAAATCCCTATAATCCCAGTACTTTGGGAGGTCGAGGTGAGAGGATTGCCTGAGCCCAGGGGTTCAAAGCCAACCTGGACAACTTGGTGAGACCTCATCTCTATGATAAATTAAGAAAAATTAGCTGGACGAGGTGGCACACACTTGTAGTTCCAGCTACTTGGAAGACTGAGACGGAACGGTTACCTGAGGCCAGCAGGTCGAGGCTGCGGTGGTTGTGAGTGTGACACTGCACTCCAGTCTGGATGACAGAGTAAGACTCTGACTCAAAAAAAAAAATAAAAAGGAATAAATAAATAAATAAAAAGTCTGAGATCAGTAGATAGAGAGTGCTGTAAGGAAGTATAAAACAGTAAAGAGAAACAGAGGCACAGAGATTCGACTTTAAGGAAAATGCTTTTCAAGGAGATCTGTGAGGTTAAAGCGAAGGTATGAACCATGCCCTAGGTTTTGTGGGTTCCAATCCTGCCTCTGCTGTATCCAGCTGCCTCCACTTCTTCATCAGTCCAATGTCACTGTCTACTTCATACAGTAATTATGGGAGTCACCCAAGATAAACACACAAAGCATTTAGGACATGTTTGTAACGTGTTGAATCTGCTCAGTAAATGCCGGCCTGCATTTGGGGCAAAAGCATCCCAGTCAGAGGGAACAGAAGCACAAAAAGACCTGCTGTGGGAATGTCTCTGGAATGTTCAAGATATGGTACAGAGGTTGGAATAAAGTACATGAGAAGTAAAGACCCGAAAATAAGACTTGGGAGGTGCCCTGGGGTCAGATCATTATCAGCTTTAGTAAAGACTTGGTAGAGAAAGCTGTGCAAGTGATTGTTAAAATAATACAGCAGGGACTCTATCCAAATATTCAGACTCTAGATTCAGTCCTCTTCAACTAGAAAACGCTGTCATTTTAAATAACTTATAGAGGTTCTTCCAAATTCTAAGACCTGTAAGATCAAGATCCTAGATTGCTTTTGCCAAATCCACCACTCTGGACAAAGGATATCAGTATTATTTTATTAATAACTGCCTAGATACTCCTAGGAGGGAAAAGAATGCTGTCTTATTTACAAATGAAAGGCCAAATAAATAACTCCTCAGCCAAAACTGTAGCCCATTATATGTAAATTTCTCAGCATGTGTTGATGCTATCAGCAATTTACACACAAAATTGTTACTTTTTAAACTGCTATTCCGTTTCATCAGATTATGGTAATGTTTTGGGCATCAATTGTCATTAGCCTAAGAACACTCATTGTACATTTAAAGCTTTTCTTAAGTAATGCAAAGTGGGTTTACCACTTGTGAGAATTATAAAACCTGTGTTTTTATTTTTTTCCCTCAGAGATACCAGTAGCCATGGCAATTCAGGAGGCAAGATACTCATGTCAGAAATAGTTTTTATATCATTTCTGCTCTGCTGGAGCGGTAGCGCATTCCATTTAAACGATCAAGTTAAGGTAGGAGGTAACTGGTTTAAGGCACTCTCTAAATCAGAAGCCAGCTGTGTCCCATTTGCCCACTAACCAACAAATTTCATACAAATCCAAGAACAGCAAACTGCATCAAAGGGCATGGACTCTGAGGATCACGTGATCCACGGCCTAGAGAGAAGAGGCACTGATTTAAGACAAGTCTTTTGACTAATAGGATGGAGATGATGCTTCAGACATAGCATGGGAAGGTGGGGAAGTGATGGCTCTGAAATGAAGGTTCATTGGGTAGAGTGGAGACTCTTTTCAGGTTTGCTCTTGACCTATCCACTCAAAGATAGCTAAGTCCTCTCTTTGGATCACTTGGCTTTTAAATTATAAATCTTAGTCAAAAGCAAAAGAAGAGTAGAAATATAAGAAAAATATAATTCTACTATCTTTGAAATTAAGTACATAATTCTAGCTTCAAAAAGGACATACATGACCTTGAATAACATTTTTTTTTAAATCTTGGCATTTCTTTCTCATATTATTCAAATTTGTGAAATCCTTTCCCATTGTCAAAGGTTAAATATAAAAGTTGTTTTTTTAAAAAATAGGCAGATGGTAGATGCAAATACTAACATTTAGGAGTGTTACAACTTTCTTTTATCCGACTGAATACTTACCAATGGTTTAGGAAAATGCCTAAGAAAAATTAAGAGTGACAACTAGTAATTTAAGCATGTGTGGTCCAAATTTAAACTGTAATTGAATATAAACATATTAATATAAAGACAATAAAAATTGGCCTTGAAAGACAATTTCAAACCTCAGGACAGAATTATAGTACAATATAGTTTGAGACATTTAATCAGGTAGAAAACCAAGAAGAATTTAAAACAGTGAGCATTAACTTCAAGAGAGTTTTATTTAGTACCTGCTGTGTGCCTAAATAATCGATGATACCAATATAAATATTGTTATTCCTATCCTCAAATAGACTTAATAACTCTATATTTACAGACATCAGTCATATATGAATGACCTTAATACAGTTTTTTTCTCATATCTGAGTACCAATTAGTTACAAAAGTTATCAAATGTTTTTCTTCAAATCAACTAGTTTTTCTGAAATACATACTTTATTATAATTTTAAACAATGATATACTTAAAAACTTATGTTTAGTTTGGTTCTATTATCTGTGTAAAAATTACACTCTCTTTGTCCTCTCACTCTCTATATACATTTTCATAGAATTTAATACCTGTGGTAGGTGCATCCAGTTCTTTTTTACCACTGGAATTACGAAGACTCACACTTTTCCACTCCATTGAAAGTAGGCATGGCCATGTGACTTGCTACGGCCAATAAAATATGGA